TGTTATTTACATAAATTTGGCGTCAAAAAGAAATAACGAATCCAGTGTACGACAATAACCATGGCAACAAATTATAGATAATATACCTTACAACTTTGCAAAATGATCCGTGTTCAATTAAGTAAGGCAAACGATTATTATGAACATTATCCCCAAAACAAAGTGTTCCGACTTGTAGATTTTGGGAAAAATAACTCAAGAAAAAAGAAACATACATGTAATTGATACTCCTTTAATGTCAATGGCTGCAATTTAAAATATCTGCCACAAAGTTACCCAGCAAATCTTAAACATTTTTTACTCGAAATGTGCCATCTTTTGAAATTCTTTTTCGTTGTTCAGCACAACAAATTTTCATAACATTTTGGGTCTATAGGGGATGCATACTATTAATGTGAATAATTGCATAATAAGTGTCACATAAAAATCTGCATCTCGATGCCGCTTGTTACTAGCACAGAGGACCAAATATAAAACGAATCATGTGTGTACTAGTGAGTATAACCATTGGGATACTTGCTGTAGACACACCTGATTTAGTTATCTTTCAAATTAAATTACAACACTGTCTACTAGGCATTTAATAGACCATTTTCCGTTCACTGCGAGAATCACGCGTTATGCGTGAAATCGAACGTAAAAACAGGACAAACAAAGGTCATAGCGTCGTAGTGGCGTCAAACATAGCGTGGGATTCGACTAACGCGAAAGTATTTTTGGGATATTTCCATGCTTAATCACGTGCTGTACACATGTGATGATGGGCAATTTCGATGAAGTAAAGGTATTCGAAAGCAATATTCCCTTGTCAAAGATCGACCTTTCGATGTAAAGAAATTCGAGTTCAAAATCAAATCGTTCAAATTAAAATCACCTATTCGAGTAAGCATTACACTTGCATTGCTAGATAAACATGTAAACGTTCGTTATACCATGCGTTTGTATCAACACCAATTCTTCTGTACTGTTTACGTTGGCAACCACATAAACTTGTATTCACTGTACAACATTCCTCTCTATCTGAGTTTTGATTTTGTGGATCTTTTGTGACCATTATGTTTATCATGGTCAAATGCATTAAAAGATTGTGCCGCGTATTAATTAGGTAATTTGCATTCTAATTGTCAGTCTAGTACATTCAATGTTATAATAGTAGTTTGTTCAATCGGACACCTATCTGTGAATACAAATTAACTATTTTTAACTTGTTCTGTATCCAAACTACAGATTCACTTCACATAGGAACACATTCTAGTTTCTCTCGTTACACTTTGTTCGCGAAACTACTAAATGCGTACTTGTTTTGCTCAAAGAGAGCCAGCAACAGGTCACGCTTGGAGAGTTCACAAAGTTGAATTATTGGTTATTAAATTTACTTCACACGGGATCACTTTCTAGTTTCTCGCGTGAGACTTTGCTTCGCGAAACCACTAAATGCGTACCTGTTTTGCTCAAAGAGTGCCACCAACAGGTCACGCTCGAAGAGTTCACAAAGGTGAAGTCGTGCCAACTATCACTTATCATCACGTGACCAAATAAAAGATCGGGTGCAAGTATTACCTTGCGGTAAGTGAAAGCTCGGTAACTATTTTTTGAGTAACATTCAACTTCTAGATCTTGCTGTTCTGGTGTATTACCAGACGTCGCTGAATAGCCGGAGTTGATATGTACGATATATATTATCAGAAACCGACGTGTTGTGTCAACTTCCGTGTGTGTTGTGCGCCACAATGGCGTCGCTGCTACTGGCCATTGTGAGTGAAATGTATTTAATCGACGCCAAACGCTAATTTGTTTGACAGTATTCATAAGTCTAATAGTCGTATTCTGCAGTTTCTTTATAATAATGACCACTTTCAAGTTCTTGTGCTTAGATGTTAGTATAATTGTATCCTATGACTAAATACACTACCAGATATACGAACTGACGATACTATGCCCCTCCCATTTGTCAACAAATAGCCATAAATTAGAAGACAAGCAAATATTCTCGAAACAATAAATTATATGTGCTTAGATACCATACAATGTATGCTGAAAGCGGGTTTTTATTATTTGTCGACTTGCGCAATCAATGTATACACAGAATGTGCAGTAAACACTAGCTGTAGTTGTGTAATAAAAACCCATCATTTGTCATCGCACGCCGTTCCAATCAACCACAAGCAGTTCGGTGGCACTCTGACCCAAACATAAAGTAAGCCCCAAGGTTACTCCAACTATGTAACCACAAATAACAGGCCAGGGGAGGTTACCTCATAAATTTGTAGAGTTGGAATGCAAGTTTGAGGCTTACACTATGTGATATGTTTCCTTCCACAATTGGTCGATGTCTAAAATATATATTTTGCGTGCTGTTCTTAGATATATGCATACATAACGCAGTATGCAGAAATGAAGTCAAGCAAGAAATACATTATAGTTACGACCCTGGTTAATTTGATTATACCTTGTGTTGTCTCTGGCCAGAATAAAGGTGAGCCTTTCCTAGTGTTTTAATATTTTAAAGGGCGACAGTCGTCGGGCCGCGTCCTGTTCGATATGGGACTCATAGCGACATATACAACGCGTGTAAAATACATTGTTTTATTTACATGAAATTCGAACACGCGTTGCGCGACGACCACTGCGCTTTAAGTCGTCTTGTTATCTTCATAAATTCTATTACATTACTTGACGTACAATGTGTTAGTACACAAACACAAAACAAAAATATGCATAAACACTACACAAGATCAAAACAACCAACAATTGACAAATACTCATACTCATTTTCAATCTAAAATCTAAATAAAACACAATTTAAAGCTTTCTGTGTTTATGAATGTGGATGGCCTGAAGGGGGAAAATTCCATACCCAGTGATTTCGAAAGAAGGTCACAGAGATTTATCGGGGTAGAGTTCCTTGTAAATAGTGGCGGAGAGTCAGTATTGAAGTCACGTATTAATGATGTCACGATTATAGCTATCGTATACTTATGCTTTTTTTGTCAAAATATTTATATTATATGTAGTACTACGCCAACATACGGCAGAAAATATAATCTGTTTGATCTAAAATTCATTTTACAGCTTTTTGAACTATGTCTTCACTAATTTGGTTCAACAAATGACATTTTGACTCACTATTGCAAGGGTAAAAAATATATAAAAATATATATATAATAAAATATATAGAAAACCAACCAGAAATATAATTGCACATAGAGTTGTTCTTTTTGATACAATAATAATAAGAAGCAGACATTAGTTTATAGAATTCGCATTTGACACAATTGTCACACTCTTTTCTTCCTATTGTCACAGAAGGTCACTACGCCATTCATTCAAAATTTTTTTACAATGACTTAACAGCTCAACAACATAATGAAATAATAATAAGTATGAATTAATTTGACCAACTTAGGGAAATGATTGTTCAAATACAAACAGGAACTTACTGTATCCAGACATTTTGACATACGACACACAATTAGCCTACACTTTGTATGTTGGACGTTTGATTTTCAGCTATTGGAAGACGTCGTGGATCGGATCTAGAAGTGACAGTACGCCGAATCAGATAGATACAAATGGGCCGGCACCAAAATATAAGAAAACAATATCATGTAGTTTACTTTTATCATCTGCTTTTCTGAAATACAATACATTATTGATCTTCATTAATACGTGCTTCTCGAAAAATTGATGCAATGTATTTCAATTCGACAGGACCCAGAAATGCACCACAAATTCCCCGTTATACGACGCAACCAGGAAATGCAACGGAGAATGCCACCCACGTGTTCATAACACCAAATGCCACACGCATGCCCATAACAGCAAATACTACATACGTGCCCACATCAACAAATGCCACTGCAACACACATAACAACTGTGGAGTCAGTTCCAACCTGCAGTTGTGGTTGTGGTGGTAGTTTCTACTCTGACATTGGTGTCATCACATCGCCTAATTATCCTGAGCCCTATGCGGACAACAAAGTTTGCTTCTATTACATCAAAGTAACGGACGGAATGTTAGCGCAGGTAAATTTTAGTTTTACGTTCACGAATTTGAATAACTTCGGTACACCCTGAGCTTCGAATCAACTTTTATTTCATGTATGTATTGGAATGACAAATGTGTGTATTATTTGTTTTTGTTTTTCCATTTATATTCATACTGTCAATTTGATACTTATTTATACAGCACAGGTTAGTTCGTTTAAACAAATAATTGCAACACAAAACTCACCTTGCCTCAACCCAAAATATGAAATACCATGTCATGTATTGTGTATTTGAAGGTTTGTCTCTTAGACTAATATAAATAAACAAACTTCACAGAAGATAGTTGTTATTGTTCATGCGCCATAGAAATTTATGTCCATGTCTGCATTCATTGTAGTTAGCATTTATGACGCTAAGCGTAGATGATGACGTCGACTTTGTCCATGTGTATGATGGAACTTCGGGGCTGCTATTGGCGACGTACCATGGTACGTATGGTCAATCTGACGTGACATCACCTCATGCGGAGATGAGAGTGGTATTTCATTCTGGTGTCGCTGAACGACAGAACCTAGGTTTCTACGCTGTGTTCCGTGCCGTAACAACAGAAAGGCCGACTTACTTCAACAGCTCATTCTGGACACCACCAAATCATTGTAGAACACCAAACTATTTCACTGGTGAAATTAAATCACCTAACTACCCTTCCTATTATCCTAACAACCAGGACTGTGAGTTTCGCATTACAGTACACAATGGAAAGCAAGTTCAGGTAAATATATAACCTAGTGCTACAAAACATGTGATAAAAGCGCATTGTCTATAGTCAGTTATATAGCTTTTCCATGATTGTCAGTACAATTTTGTTTGAAACCTTTTACATACTAATTATAATAAATATTGTAATAAATGTAACAACTACGATATTCGCAAGATATCTGCCAGATTCTGCATTGCTAATAGCCGAACATCACCGAGTAATGCCGTAGATTATATTGTGATTGAGTTTCCGTTTGTCGTTTCTGCCAAATGAAAACGGACTAATTAGTGAACTACATTATCGAGTACGCTGCGTGCCCTGGGTATCGCATTCGCTTGAATTTTGCACAGGATGTTCTGCCGAAAGTGTCAAACAACCGGGTGAGAGCGTTTTATCCTAACAATAATCGTTGGCGAAAAATCTCGTTATAAACTAAAAGTAAATTAAGTGTAATTCAGTGACCGTGGTCCATCATTTCAAGCTGGTCTCATGAAATAAACGCATCTCGCTGGGCAAAAATCTTGTTACCCGATTGGATGGGACATCCGTTGGTTAACATTACGATGTTTGTTACTCATCTAACTAGTTTCAGTTTCGCGCAGTACTCGTTTTTTTAAAATAACATTTTTGTTTGTTTACTTAGCAGTCACGTGATAACCATTAAATTCTATCCAAAATGACCCAGAATTTCAGGAAGTGTGAGATAAGAGGTTTCATACAATATATGGTTCACTATAGTTCAGGACAATTCTTATATGAAAACATCAAGCCTAACTATAACATACGTGTTATGTCTACTACATCCTTAAGTCACCGAATTGCATGCGGGATTATTTGTTCAACGATCGAAGAGTAAATTATATAATCCATATTCCGTTTACTGTATTTTACATTAAGACTAGTCTGAGATGCACAATATACTCTTTTGTTGTTTCTTGTACAACTATTATGTGCACTCTGTTCTGTCTGTTGTATTTAATGAACCACTATTTTATTTATGTTACTACTGCATTCGAACACACTTCGAACATTCCACATTACGTACTTTCTACGTTGGCCGTGTTGTTATATTTAGCGTGCTCCCGAAGCAGAGCTCGATAAGCAATGCATGACGGAAATTGTAGTAGTGAGACAAATAAAATCTTAGTCAATGAACGGCGAAATATGTCAGCTTTAAAACTGTTTAATTCGAAAACGCGTTTTTTTCTGGCAAATTATTCAAAATTGAAATGTGTTTTCATCTACGTATATATGTATATATATATATTTATTTATTTAACACCTATGGCCATCGGCCGTTCGTACAATGATAAAAATATAAAAAAAAATACTTGATAATATAGGGTTGTCAATCCAAGTTTTCCTTAAAACATAAGATTTCCATTTCAATAGGGGATCACAATAGAAAATAAATATGCCAACTAATTGGTTCATAAGCAGGGCAAACTATACAAAATTAAATTCTTCTTCAACTACAATAACAATAACTTTCTGAATGTCATCTCTTCTCTATGTTGAAAAATACCTTTGGTGATCGATAGTAAATCGAAATAAAATTGTATTATTTCGTCATTTTCTTTTGAAACCAAATAATTTGGTAAATTTTCGACAAATTCTGTCTTTAAAAGAATACATAGCTGTTCAAATAACCAGAAGCCAATCATGATGACATATATTTCCATACAAATTTTTGAACAATTTCAACAATTAAAACTTACCGATGAAAATATTTCACATAGAAATTTCTGACAAAAATACGGCCATATAATGTTTATAAAAAGCAATGACATGCATTTCGAATTCATGATTGTTCAACGAACGACTTGTATTTAGTTTAATTGAGAAGCTATTTTTATACTGAAATAAGTGAAATTGGATGTTCTGGAAATGTTGCATGTACAGCAATAATGGTTTATGACTGATATTAACACTGTTTTTTAACATTTTGTGTAGTTAACGTTCTCAGAATTTGACACAGAAGAGTGTTGCGACCGCGTGATTATCTACGATGGTTTAACAACTTCATCAGCACACATGGGAACATATTCGGGTTCTACTATTCCACCCATCATACTCTCCTCTGGTCCAGACTTGATGGTGAGATTTTATTCAGATAGCACGGTAACCAAACGTGGATTCCACGCCTATTTCAATGCGGTTCAACCTATATATATTTCAACGACAGATATCTCAACGACATCCGACTATGATCAACAGACGACCTCACAAGATTGTGGTGGTACATTTCATAGTGATACCGGGATAATCAATTCTCCTAATTATCCAAATAATTACCCAAACAATCAATATTGTTATTATTACATCACAGTACGCGATGGAATGTCAGTGCAGGTAATGTGAATATCTTCGATTAATTTATATAGTATGATACTAACCTCGTTATTAATTGTCGTATATATATATATATATATATATATTTGTATATATTCCAATGATACATCCAGCTGATTTTGAGAGATTGTGGAGAGTACAGGATCTGTTTATTTCTGTCTCATAATGAAAAAAGTGAAATTGAAATTTACTGGAAACGTTTCGAAGTTAGAAATAGTTTCATTTTCAAATTTAAAGAATGTTAGTAGTTATTTATTTATTGGCAAAAAATACATATGAGAAAAAATGTTTTAAAAGCGACTTTAGAAACATTAAACATGGTTAGTTAATACAACAGAAAAAGTAAATTGCGTACCTGCAATGAATTAAAATATTTCATGATTGTTCAACGAACGACTTGTATTTAGTTTAATTGAGAAGCTATTTTTATACTAAAATAAGTGAAATTGGATGTTATGGAAATGTTGCATGTACAGCAATAATGGTTTATGACTGATATTAACACTGTTTTTTAACATTTTTTGCAGTTAACATTCTCAGAATTTGACACAGAAGAGTGTTGCGACCGCGTGATTATCTACGATGGATTAACAACTTCATCAGCACACATGGGAACATATTTGGGTTCTACTATTCCGCCCATCATAGTCTCCTCTGGTCCAGACTTGATGGTGAGATTTTATTCAGATAGCACGGTAACCAAACGTGGATTCCACGCCTATTTCAATGCGGTTCAACCTATATATATTTCAACGACAGATATTTCAACGACATCAGACTATGATAAACAGACGACACCACAAGATTGTGGTGGTACATTTCATAGTGATACCGGGATAATCAGTTCTCCTAATTATCCAAATAATTACCCAAACAACCAAGATTGTTTTTATGACATCACAGTACGCGATGGAATGTCAGTGCAGGTAATATGCATATTAATTTATTTTTTTATCATTTGATTATTTGAAATAAGTGAATACATATATTGTGTATGTCAATTTACTCCATGTATATTTCATACATACTTAAAATCGATTACCATGACCTTTAAAAATGTAATAAAACCACGATTGTCCTAACCTTGAACAAAATCGCTAGTTACTGAAACTTCGGCACCGTTTATATGTTATTTTCTTAGTGAAAATGTTTGTAAACCCTGTGTATTGACACAAAAGCCACATATCTTTTTAAAATGTTCATTAACCCAACACTTTCAGATTCGGAATTCAGTCTACCACTTCTAGTACATACAAATATTCCATGTGTTAATCCCCTAAATCTGAAAGTACTCTTGCACTTATTATGAGGTTCTGAAATATTATCGACAACAACGTTAAATGGTGTGCTAAAACAAAAACAAAATATCTCAACTGATTATGTACTGTGTTTCAACTGAAAGAATATTACTTATACTTACAGTTGCAGTTCATGACATTCGATACGGAACGCTACTGTGACTTTGTCTACGTCCAGGATGATTTAAATACGTTATATTATTCTGGTGCAAAACACCCATTTAGCATAACATCGCAAAGTTCAAACCTGCTGGTTAGGTTTACATCTGATTACAATGTCATTGGACTGGGGTTCCAAGCTAGGTTCAATGCAGTGGATACATACCAACCAATGACAACATCCTCGTTGCCATGGACGACAACACCATTTAGCTGTGGTGGTTATTTCAATGGCGAGTCAGGTGTAATTGTTTCGCCTCATTATCCTTTCAAGTATCCCTCGTCTATACATTGTTATTATTACATTACTGTGACCACTGGTATGTCAGTGCAGGTAAATGCCTTTCTTATAATCGTTATTGAGATGGTTGATGATATGCTTTAATGATGTATATTCAATAGATCAGAACTTCTTTATTATACTGTGTTAGATATAAACTCTGTTCGAAAAGTCACAAACATGAATATTGCAGAAAAATAGACTAATATATACTAGTAGATGACGTATATCGCGGAGTTTGTTTTGCAGTTGAAGAACATAGATTTAGAACACACCTAGAACACAACACCAATTATCACTGGTAAAGGCCATCATGTTTACTGCATGCTTCAGCCCCCCGGAACTTGCCTAATGGGGACGTGCCCCTGAAATGGGTCTCGTTTTTTTGGATTTTAGGTATAAGTATCGGTCTTATTTCTAGTAAAGATAGGTATAAATATCGGTAATAAATATGCTCTTATGTAAGTGACAGAGGTGTTTCTATGGTCAAAATACATATTTTAATAAAACAATATACAATGCAATTGTTGACTTACATTTGCTTCCATTGGAGATGCTCTTCTAATAGAGCAAATACGGTAACTGTTTTATTTGGAATAAATAGTGATGACAGAAATGGTACTTTGGTATAAATATGGGTATAGATTTTGCCACTACCCAGGTATAAAAATGGTCACGCTTTTGAGCACTCAGGGGCACATCCCTCCCAGCTATGCTATCAAGTGTCCCAAGGGACTTCTGTTTTAGATTATCCTTGAAAAACAAATCATTATTGTTATAATTGTGTTTGAATTAATACAATGTACTGATAATCATGCGTTTACTTAGTTTGTGAATTTTCTTATTCGATTCGTTTTAGTTGGAATTTAGTGCATTCAGCACCGAAAAAGGATTCGACAATGTTACTGTTTACGATGGCCCTTACGCAAATGGGATAACGTTGTTGAATGGACACTCAGGGGACAGTGCTCCTGTTTTGCCACTATCAAGCGGCAATTCCATAACGGTTGTTTTTCATTCTGATTACAACACTGAATACGAAGGCTTTTCTGCCAACTTCATGTCAGCAAACTGTGGTGGAGTATTCACATCACGCAAAGGAGCTGCATTTGCATCACCTTCATATCCCAGAGATTATGATTCAGACTGTTATTATTACATCTTAGTGTCCTATGGCGACACAATACAGGTAATCATTTATTGAGTCTTATTTTTGTTTCATTGTTACTCGTTCCCCGGGACTCGTTCACTCTGACACAAATTTTACCATAATTTTTACAGCTATCGTTCACCGACATCAACATGGCTGCTCATGACTTCCTTCATGTGTATGATGGCAGCAGCACATCGGCTACATTAATGGGGACTTTTACACGGATTGATCACGTGCCTGACTTGTTCTCTACCGGTTCACACATGGTTATTCATTTCCACATTGACGTGAACAATAGTTATTCAGGATTCAGAGCTACATATTATATAACTGAGCCCCCCACTACAGCAACACCTTACTATCATAATAGAATAACTACAAACAATCATGGTGAGTGAGTATGTTGTGAAGAGTTACTTGTATATTTCAGTTTACATTGTGAAAAGATTCTATTATATTTCAATTTAAACCTTGCAATGGTTCAGGACTGTTTGATGTCCCGCCTTAGATGATTACGTTTCTCAGTCACAAATCGGATGTGCCAGGTTTTTGGTAGAGCAGATTCATAGTTACTGATATTACCATGGTATCTATTACACTTTTCATCTTTATTTAAATAAGACATTTCGGTTTTTGTTATCCTCAATATACTATACAACTAAACAATATAAGGATATTTGTTCACATTTTTGCACATTGATTTTGTGGTTATTATAATTTGTTATACAAACCACATACGTCAGTTCCTAGTCATAGAATTTGCTCATTCTGTTCTCAACCAATATATCTATTTTTAAGGCTATAATCAAATTACAAACTATCAAACTTTGGTCTTTCTGCACCATCGTAGATACTCGTATCTCTTCATTGTATATTTTAAGTACCACAGCATGAATAAGATTTGATAGATTGAAAACTCAAGTTCCAATGCGATACTTTTCCATGTTTTGGTGTTTTTATTTATGTTAAATATTTTGATTGTGTTTGAAATTGAAAGTCGATTGACACAATTTTTAATAGTCTTTACTTTATTTTGATATATTTGACAAGACAGAAGAAGCACTTTTTTACTTTAGTTTTAACCCTGTTCTTCTCAAATGCTGAGAATTTCATTTCTTCTCTCACTGTACTTCCAAATACTATATCAAATAATCCAGGAACAGCACCAGAGTCTTTCAATGTGATCCTGCTATCACCGTCTTCATAAGTCTCGATAGTTGAGGGTGCATTGTTCAACTCAAAAGGCATGACTCTTCAGCGAACAACTTGGTGCATGTTACTCATTGGCACTTGTATCTCTCTTCGTCTGTCAGTTTCTGAATGACATACCTACCGTTGAGAACCAGGAAGTTCCAGAAAATAGTTTTAAAAATTCATTGATCCATTATTTTGGGTATTTAGCCGCTAATATCACAAACACGTACATAGCCATTTTTCGGACAAGTACTATAGTGATGATGAGGCTGTATAATCCCAAATCTCAATATGTCTACCATCTGCTTATATGCTTTGATGGCTGATGAATAAGGATGTGCTTCCCTGTGTGTTTCAGCAGTCATGTATGTCTCTCCTGCCAAATGCTCATCTGCCAACAATACACATCTTAGAAACACTCTACTACAGATGACTTAAGTCAAGTTAAAATGTGTGACTACCTCAAAGTCAATAGCTATGAACATTTAAATATCATTTAGATAAAACTAGAAATACTATGCCATACCCATGTGAATATATAAAATTCACTAATCTTACCACACATGGACTACTTGGACTTGCTGTGTTGCGCAAGAATCATGTTTTAGAATATAACACACATAAAATGAAATCATGTATGTATTAATATATACATACTTTTTATATTTCATTCGTTATGGCTCTTTTGAAAACAAATTCTTTATAAACTGAATTCGTACCCAATTAAACCTGACCAACGCTTCCAGCTTTACTCCATTGAGTTCAACTTCTACACCACAGCTATTTCTCCCCTTTGCTGAGGTTAATCTTCCGTAATGCAAAGTATTTCCAGAGGACACTATGATACCCATTGATACTGGATCCATGACCATACTACATGACAGAATCTTATTCCCAGGAGCCATACTGCCAGGTTTTGAAATATGTACCAGTGTAGACAGAAGCATTAGAGTTTGATATTTACTTGTAACATAGAGTGGCATGAACCAGTGATCTTTATTTGGATGGTGACATCAGGAGGACGAAGCCTAGCCAGAGCATAGAGTACAATAGTTGTCCCTGGGCGTTGGCCGAATTGCCAAGCCCAGAGAGCAAACAATTGGACCAGGTCCGGTGTAAATGTCTGTATGTCTGAGTATGTATCTCTAAGTTTGAGTCTGTCTACTAGTATATCTTCCTAAAGTAACATGTCTTTTTATGAGGTAAATCACGTGATGCAAATTGATACATTACATGACTCAAAACACCTTTTATGATAGGACAGTGGTTTAATACACCGGCATAAGTTTCCCGAAAAATACATTGAATAAAAATACAAAAGTGATTTTAGCACCTCCACATTTACAGGCTGATTTGTCGCAGGTGATAATGTTTTACAAAGTATATTATTACACGTGGTGCTATACACTGTCAGCTTCCCATATACCACATATTTGCTAAAAGTGACACGGATATTGTTTTAGAAACCACGGTTATTGATAGCAATGTGAAGATACGCTTGATATTATGTCAATACAAGCGTCACCCATGGGAATCCTGACAAAGCCCATGAT